ACTAGACACCCATGTGCTCCACAGATACAGATGCAGGCAAAATACCAACACACAAAAGTAAAAAAATATATAGATTAAAATTGATACAAATAGAGACTTGTACACATTATATGTATTTTGTCCCAGTCACACAGGACAATGTAAAGCCTGTCCTTCCTTGGTGATCTTTCTCCTGCATAGGCCTGAGATATACATGCAGAGGAGTCCATAAGTTGAACCAGAACTCTGAGATCTGCAAACTACAGATACAGGTGAGCCTTTTCCAGATCTGTCACAGGCTCCTCCCGTTTGCATTGCTTTTCCTTAAGGCATTTTTAGTTTTCAGTTTCAGATTCAATACACATTTTCTCCCAAAAAAGTATGCATATAGGAGCTTAAGAAAACCGAGTTCTATTACTTAGAAATCACCATTAACATTTTGCCATGCACACTTGGGGTTTTGCTTTACTGAAATACACACATCTAAAAACATGTTTACCAATGCAGAATTAAGCACACATTATGTATTTTCAAGGCATTAAAATCAGCGCATCACCACATGCCTAAGTGAGGTGTTCACAAGACTATTCTTCGTGGCCAGAGTGAAACAATGAAGAAAGGTTTCTCGAGAACAAATGATTTATTTGGGACTAATTACAATGGCTTTCTTACAGCGGTTTCAGCCTAGCAGAACACTGTCTCACTGACTGCCAGCTCAGGCTTGTGGTCAGTGTAAATTTCTAACCCTGAAGTCTTTCACTGAAGAAAGTCAACCACCTCCACTGACTAATGAGAGCATCCACACATCCCCAGGGTATCTCTGGGGAGGAGTGCTTCAGTGGGGAATTTACAGTTGCATTTTATGGACAAGGACTGTTTAGCAAATACTAACAAAGTTGAGGAACCACCCACAATTTAGGGAACTCTTAAAAAAAAAAACAAAAGCCAAACTTTTTGGGATTTATACATCACCACACAAAAATTTCCCATGGCATTATACAGCCAAGAGGAAAACAATGCTGTTTTTCATAAACAGTGGAATATCTTGGCTCTGGAGACAGTGGTGGCAGGAACATTACCCAGTGAGCAGAATCCTACAGAAAGGTCTCATGTTCTGTGTCAGGGCCAGAGGGGCAGCCTCAAGCTGCTGGCAGATGATGGCTGAGTGTTTAAAGGGAGTGTGTAGAACCATGATGGAGGGGTAGAGCCATGGTGGAGGGGTAGAGCCCTGGTGGAGGGTGCAGAGCCCTGGTGGAGGGTGCAGAGCCCTGGTGGAGGGTGCAGAGCTGTAATGGAGGAGTACAGCCATGACCTGTCTAAACAAATGCCCCGATGGCCAGAAATTTCTGAGGTACCTGGTATTTTAAACACACATTTCATGCAGTCTGGAGGCTTCTGGCCAGGTTACGTGACTTCAAGGGAACAGAAATAATTTCCTTTGGGAATGACCCCATTACCCAAAATGGCCCCCGGTCTTGCACTGGTTAATGTAGCTCTTGTCTCCTTACTCTCAGAGACACTCAGTAGAGCATGCTGAAGTCACCTTCTTTGGGTAGGCAACCTCTAGGGGGTTATAGATAGCTTCCCAATCCTATTTAAGGGGTTCTTTATAGGACTCCTACCAATTGGAAAATTTAGGGTTACTTCAGTGTTGAGTTGGGCAGCTCATCTGTGCAGTAAAGCCCTGTTCACAATGGTATTGAGAATGATGATCAATAGTGCTCTAGTCTCTGTGTGTTACAGTACGACTGTTTTGCCCTCTAGGCCTGGGTACCTTCACTCAGACTTTTGACTTCCTGACTCCCACTTAATGTTTTTGACGAACACTAACTCTGTGACAGAGGTATACTTCTATCTTTCAGCACAAGAGAAAAAGCCGTCTGGGTACTTGACTTCCTCAAGGTGAAGTCCGGGCACTGTAGATCAACATGGTCATACCTACCCAGCACCCGGCACCATGCACCTGTGTTACCCAGCCTCTGCCCCAGGAGCTGGAGGTCTGTTTAGCTGCAGTGAACATGTTCAGTAAATTGGTGGTCCATTTCCCCTGGACAGAATGAACGATAAAAGCAAGCTGTCTATCTTTCAGCCTGGTTGGCTTTACATTTCAAAATACATTAAAGTCTGTGATAAAATACATATATCATTAAAATATTATTAAGTTAGAATGGCAAGTAATGGATTTCATAATGGCATTTTCAGAAATACTTTCTGTTCTTTTATTTATTTTATTTTTCTGGTTTTTCTAGACAAGGTTTTTCTGCCTAGCCCCAGCTGTCCTGGAACTCACTCTGTAGACCAGGCTGGCCTCAAACTCTGAGATCCACCAGCCTCTGCCTCCCAGGTGCTGGGATTAAAGGTGTGCACCACAACCATTAGACTTACATTTTGTTCTTTGTTCCCTTCCCCATTGCCCCCTGTCTCCTGCTGCCTCTTGCTGGTACCCTGTTCCCCTCTTAGCCCCATTCCTCCTTTCAGGTCACATGTATTCATTCCATCACTTCCTGTTTTTTTCTTCCCTCCTTCCTCACTTCCGTAAGATCTCTTCTTGGTCACTCCCATGTTACCCTTTGAAGTTTCATGATACAGGGTTATGTACATAATTATGAACATATAAATCTAGAATCCACATATAAGGTTTGTCTTTCTGAGCCTAGATTATTTCACTTACTATGATGATTTCCAGATTTATCTGCTTTCCTGGAAAAAAATCTCATAATTTCATGTTTTCTTTACAGGAGAATAAGAGCCCACTGGGTACTTACACCACATTTTCTTTGTGTAAGCATCTGTTGACAGACATCTAAGCTGGTTCCATTTTAGCTGTTGTGGATAGTGCATCACTTAACATGGATGTGTAGATATCTTCTTGGTATGCTGACCCAGAACCTTGGTATATACATTAGGTTTATTTTTAGCTTGATTTCATTAAAATATTTTAAACTCAGAGGCCAGAGGAGTTGGTGTCCCCAGAAGCTGGAGTTTCTGGTAGCTGTGAGCTTTCTGGTGTGGGTGCTGAGAATCAAACTTGGGTCCTCTAGTAGAGCAGAGAGTTTACATTTGTATCAGCAGGGTACAAGCTTCTTTCTCCGCACCCTTGCCAGCATCCATTGTCATTTGTTATCTTGATGTCATCCATTCTGTCTGTGTGAGATGGAATCTCAAAATGGTTTTGATTTGCATTTCCCTGATGACTAGGGATGTTGAACACCTATTAAAATATTTACTGGCCATTTGTGTTCCTTCTTTTGGGGACTGTTTTTCAGTTCATGGGTCTGTTTACTGACTGGATGATTTAGTTTGGGTATATAATGTTTATAGATCTTTATATATTCTGAATATTAACTCCTCTGTGGTATATTTGAAAAACATTTTCTTGCATTCTGGAAGCTGCCATGTCATTCTGGTGACTGTTTTGCTGTGCACAAGTGTTGTCAATCATCAGGGTTATGTCCTGTGCTTTGGAGTTCTTTTCAGTAATTTCTTGCCCATGCCTCTATCTTGATGTGTTTTCTCTATGTTTTCTGCATGCTGCTTTAAAGTTTCAGGCTGTACATTAAGATATGCGATTCATTTTGAATTGATTTTGTGCAAAATGAGGGCTATGGATCTAGTTTCATCTTTCTATGAAAAGATACTAAGTTTTCCCAGCACCATTTATTGATGAAGTGGTTTTTCTTCCAGTATAGATTTTTGACAGTGTTGCCAAATATTAGGTTGCTACAGCAATATAGCTTTATTTCTGGGTGCCCTATTCTGTTCAATCTACTTGTCTGGTTTTGCATAATTACTATTTTTTTTTACTATGGATCTGTAGTATAATTTGGGACCAGTGAAAGTGATATTTCCAGCCTGGTTTTTCTTGCTTTGGCTATTCAGAGTCTTTTGTATATCCGAATGAATTTCAAGATTCCCTTACCCCAATTTTTTGAAGGATACCATTGGAATTTTAATGGGAACTGCATATAATCTGTATATAGTGCATTCAGTAATATAGTTATTTTCACAATATTAGTTCTGCCAATCCTAGAGTATGGAAGACTTTTCAATCTTCTAGTATTTTCCTCAACTTATTTCTTCAGTCTTTTAAAGTTTTCCTTGCAGAAATCTGTCTCCTCTTTGTTTAGGTTTATTTGTAGGTATTGCTGGTGACCACTGTGCTACTTTCTGCCCCTATGAGTCTTAATACTCTATAATCTCATGTAAGTGGAGCTGTTTATTATTTGCCCTTCTATGTATAGCTTCATTTAACATGCTGTTCTCAAGGCTCATTCTCGATGTAGCATGCAGCAGCATTTCCTTCCCTTTTAATGCTAAACAATATTCTCCATTATACATATATACATATTTCATTGGCCACTCATCTATTAATGGACATTTAGGTTCTTCTGCCTTTCGGCCATTATGAACAATGCTGCTTTCAGCATGGTGCACCGGTATGGCCTTGAACTTTGAGATAATTATAGATTCACATGTATTTGCAGGCAATAGTATAGGCAGAACACACACATGCATTTGGTTCTATTCAGTTTTGGCATCTGTGTATATTTATATACCTGCCATAAAAACAGGACATAGAATAGAGAATCACTGTATTATTAGGCCATGTGTTCAGCCCTAGATTCCAAGTTTGTTTCTAAAGCATGAGACAGAAGCAACAAATACCCCAGCCCTCATCAGAAAAATGTCTTGTTCCAGGTGTTCCTCCTCACTCTTCAGTGACAGTAGCTGAGGGACCTGAGTCTAGGCTATGGATCTTCAGCCATGCCTTCCAAGAGGGTGAATAAGGCAAGGGACTGGGATGATGACAGCCTCATGTCCCACATCAGCTCCATCCCACACTTGTTTCCACGTTTTATCCTGGTCAGTAACTAACAGGCATAATTATGCCACCAATCACCACATTGCTAGCCCAATCCCAGACAATACCACTGGAGTTAAATCCCAGGAGGCGTGGCCTCCTTAAATGAAATGCTTCCACAAGAACAGTGGTTTCTGATAGGAAAAGGAAACAGTTAAAATGAACTTCAGTGTCTACTTTATTAAACCCAACAAAAGACTAACATTATCATCTCAATGTGTGAATAATTTCAATTTCAATGTAAATATTTCACTGGGCCATTTGCCCTTTTTTGTATTAGGTCTTGGATTTCTGGTGTGTATTTTGTAATTACAACATGTCTTAATTTGACCTAGCCCAGGTGACCACCTGCTGTCAGAGGAGACTGTTAAATGCTATCAGTGTGAGCATCTGGCTTGATAGGCACTCATAGAGGCCTGCTGATTGCTGGCAACATACCAACTTTGCTTGGGGGCTCTGTTACCTTGGTAACCTGCTCTTCAGCAGCTCTGGTAGATTCACCTGTTTAGTGACACTGATGTGAAGCCTGCCTCAGAGGCTCAGAGAAGGAACATGTGGTCCTGAGATGCACATTAACATTTGTAGAGAAGGTGGAGGCAAAACCAACTGGAAGCAGTGTTTCAGGGAATCCCAGACTGCTGGAAAGGAATGGATTCCCGGAATTTGACAGCTCTGGAAGTCTGCATAATTCCCCGAGCCAAGGGGCTTTGGCATTCCACTTGATCATCTGGGCTGACCTCTCATGTCCTCCAGTGTGAGGCGGTCTCTTTTCCACCCGGGCACTTCTGTTCCAGCATTCCAACTCAGGAGTTGGCAATGCCACCCACATTTAGCCACCTAACAGATAGATGGAATACCAGCTGCCCACAGCCATACACTGTCAGCAAAAAGCACCCTAAAAATGGGTGGCTGGATACAAAGTCCTCTGTCTGTTGCAGACTGGGACAGTGTCTACCACAGCCCACACTTCTATTGCGGGAACATTTCTTGCTCTAGTAACGCCCTGGGGAGACTATAGAGTTTCTGCTAAATGTGTAGCCTCGTGGGCCTACAACTGGTGGCTCTCTTTGGAGAAGCCTTTCATGGTGGTATGCAGAGTCTGCTTCTACCCACCCACTCTTGCCCCAGCCATCTCTTCTCAACCAAGCCAAGCAGGCACACGGACCATTCTAACTTAGCAGCTTGACAAGTGTGCACAGAGAAACCTGCTATATTTTGCACATACTGGAATAGGTGTCATGCACGACTAAGGCCAACATTACCCGTCATTTCTTTTCTGCTTCACTTTTGTCCTGCGGCTCTCTGAAGGTTTAAAACTGAAGTATTTCCAGTGGCTGGGAATTCTCCAGTGGCTGCCGTGTTGTGCCTTCTGGTTTCAGAGCCACAGCGTTTAAGTTCCGGTGTCATCTATGGCACTCGAATCCCAGATGGCTTCAGTTTCCCCACCTATGAAGCAGAAGCAGCATTAAAACCACACAATATCCAAGCTACTGCCAACTTCCAACTTTTCTGCTGTGCTCATAACCTGGATAAACCAGGATAAAATTACGTTTGTACACTCTCAGCCTCTAGGCCTGCAGAAAGCCCAGGCTCCTGAGAAAGCCACCTTACAATAGGTTAAACAGCAGGCCCTGTGTGAATGGACAGGGGCAGGATGTATGGTTTTTACGTAGGCATCCATACCTCCTGTTTGACCTCCCTGAGGCGTGTGGCCCTTCAGAATTCCAAGACCTCAGCACAGGACTCCCATGAAGGAGGTGAGCTGGCCTGCTGCTCGGCAATGAATCACAGGACAAGTGGGTGTAGGCATTAACTGCCTCTTCCAGGAACACTTTCACAGAAGATCTCTTAAGAGCTGGGGGGTGGATGCAGTGCACTTGGGCTCCTGCATTGTTTAATGCATTCAAAGATCAAGATCGATATTTCAGATGAGCAGACAGGAGGGCCAGGGTTGCTCACCGGTCCCCAGGGTGGTCACTGCTGTTCTCCCTCCCAGTCCCCACCTGTTTCCAGCATCTGGTCAGTCATATCCTTGCCTTACAAACCTTGTAACTTTCATTTTCAACTGCTGCACCCATGCCCACATATCTTCGGAGCACTGTATGGTAATTTGACGCCCGGATGTAGTATAAAGGTCACAGATTGCAATGGGGTTGCTCTCTCTGTGGGAGCAGAGCTAGCCACATTTTTCTGTTTTCCTCCTTGCTCTACCCCTACTCCCCTGCCTCTACTTCCCCCTTTCCAGGTAACTTGTCTTTTTCTCTGTGGTCCAGACCTGCTGTAAGTCACTGCCTCTGCCACTGGTTTCATTCTTCCTGTATCGAAACTCTCTATCCTCCACCCACGCCAGTCCCTGTGCTCCGTGTGTCTACCCTCGCTCTATCTTTCCTCTTGGATGTGCTTGCATCTTTCTTGTCTGACTTCTCTATGGAGCCATTCTGGCTTTGGAGGTGGTACATTAGAGAGATAAGGATCCAGCCAGACCTCTCTGGAGATCAAGGGAAATCTCGATCCTCAGGGGCCATCTCATCCCCTCCCACGCCCATAGCACATTTTTTATGTCATTGTCAGCACACTTTAGTGGTCTGAATAGGCTGCTCTCTGGAGTGAGGTAACCAAAGCAGAGAGATTGAGGTTCTCACAGTCTGGGAGGTTGGAGTTCTGAAACCCACTTATGGATAGGATTGATGTCTTGAGACTCTGACTCCTGGTTTGTTGATACCGTTTCTTCCCCATGTCTTCAAATGGTTTCCCCTGTGTGGGTCTGTGCCCTGCTGAGCTCTTCTTGTAGTGACACCAATAATGGTGGATTAAGGCCCACCCTCGTGGCCCCACTTGAACTTGTTTGCCACTATAAAATCCCTTCCTCTGACTGAAGGCAAACTGAGGTACTAGAGGGACAAAGCTTCAACAGTTACACTGTGGGGTAAAGACTGTGATGTCCTTTGAATTGTAGGGACTTAAGTGAATACCTGTGTCTTTTCTTCACTAACAGAGACTGGGTCGGCTTCAAGTCCCACTCACAGTTAAGTTCAACCATGACTTTTGAGGTGACCCTCCTTTCTGAGCATCTCCACCCATGGGTTATCTGTGTAACTGGAGGCTGGGACATCACTGCTTCTCTGTCTGTGCAAGTTTGGAGACATCCAGGAAACTGGGTTGTAGTTAGACACTGCCTGCAAGCTCTGCTGCTAGGAGAGTATTATAGGTCTCAGCGTCTGGTGGCCTTTGAACTAGGAACTGGAGAGAGGAAGCAGATGAGCAGGGAGACCGAGCTGCACACTGAGGAGACAGGATGCCTCTGCGCCACAGAAGCAATGGCCCTGGGCTGAATTTGCAGGCTGCTATGGTGCTCAGTATGTGCTTGTTTGGGAGTTCAAGGCACTGAGAGGGGCTCACATTCCACTTCGTAGTCCAGCCAGGCTCAGTCTGTGGGGTCAGTTTGAGGAGATGGATTTGCTTGGCTTTTTCTTGTCTATGAAGCAACACTATAGAGATACAGAGAGGAGCTGATCTCTCTCTCTCTCTCTCTCTCTCTCTCTCTCTCTCTCTCTCTCTCCCCCTGTCTGTCTGTGTGTCTGTGTGTCTGTGTGTCTCTCCCTCAGTCTGTCTCCCACCAGTCCTCAGACAGTGGAGCTCATAGAGCATTTGCCTGCCTCTACTTGCCAAGTACTGGGATTAAAGGACTGATCAGCTTCATCTGTCTGTCTGTCTGTCTGTCTGTCTGTCTGTCTGTCTGTCTCTCTTTCTGTTGTAATTTAAGTAGAGATAATCTGGCTGGGTATCACAATTCTGTTTTGATAAATGTCACCACACAGATGCCAGGGAAAATCTACACTCCACCCTGCTCCTCACCTTCAGGGAATTAATCATCAAAGCCACCTTCCTTCTGAGGATCTCCAATGACCTCCCTCTTATATTTGCTAATCAGAGACAGTTTCTTGTGAATGGCACATCTGTCCTAGGTTCAACTCTTTGTGTGACCTTTGAGCCCATACAAGGCCTGGCCTCTCTTACCTCCCACCATTCCACCACAGCTTTGTGGCCTGGCCACATGGAACGGGGTTAGAATTCTACTTGTAGTTTGGGCTTCTCCCTGACCCTGGATTTGCCACAGTCTCACTCATAGAAACCAAAGTGTGAAGGTTGGTCTTGGTGTCAGCTTTGACACATCGGGGAAGTTGGAACCTCAGCTGAGGAATTTCTTCTATCAGCGTGTCCTGTGGGCATTTCTTTGAGGTTATTTTCTCGACTGATGGTTGATGTGTGAGGGCCCAGCTCTCCATGTGCTGTACTATGCCTAGGCAGTTGGGTCTGGGCTGTGTAAGAGAGCAAATGGAGAAAGCCAGAGAGAGGGAGCCAGGAGGCAGTGTCCCTTGGTCTCTGCTTGAGTTTCAGCTCTGACACCTCTTAGTGACAGATGTGACCTGGAAGTGTAGGCAAACACATTCCTTCTCCCTCAAGTCATGATGTTTATCACAGCAACAGAAAGTAAAGTAGGGCAGGATGCCGCCTTTAGCAGAAGTCATCTACCATTCCAGAGATCAAAGCTACTCTTTCCCAGCGTGGCATATGTCTGTCATACATGGGGCTTGTACCTATTACCTGTTCTATAGATTTCAGGCTCCCAGAAGACAGGACAAACTGCTTTCTTAGCACCAAGCCTTGTGCCTCCAAGTCTAACTCAGAGTTTGGACAGAGAAGGCATGCCATACACTCTTCTCAAATGAGCAGTGGGTTGCACATTCCTCTGTGAAACTATGTACGTGAGGAACACTCAGTCTGCTTCTGTCTTCTCAGGCTGGACATTGAGAGCACACCCCTTATAATCAGAATGGACCTAATTAAGCCGGAAACCTGCAGTTCCGGTTATTTGAATCAAGGCCTCCAACTCTTCACCAGTATGACTAAATCCAAACAATACCAGTAGGAAGGAAGGAATCGCCCATGCTTCTGGATGTAGTCTTCCTTTTCTCCAAGGTACTTAGCAGGTGAGAGTGCCATGCAGGAGAGATGTGAGCCTGGATTCGAAGAAGCTCAGAGCAGAAGTGGAGCTTAATGACTCCCCTGTGATGGAGAAGTAGCCCCCTTACCACTGTGTCATCAGGGTGGGTCCTGAGGTGTGAGGCTCTGTATATTGTGTGACAACCTAAAAGGTCTTCTGTTTTTCCCTTTGGGCACTGAGAACATTTATGGTAAGGGCTGGGTGTGCCCTTTGGGCACTGAGATCATCTAGGGTAAGGGCTGGGTATTCCGTGCTGACACTGGATGTCTGCAAACCAATAGGAGACACAGACGCAGTGGGAAACACTTGACATGACAGAGAGTACAGCTTGATTCATCTCCTACCTTGCCTATGCAAATGCACCTAAGGTTTCAGGCTCTTGGTTGTGTGTCTTCAAGGTAATTCTATTCCATAGGAGAGGGCACAGTGACTGATTGATTGATTGACCTGAGCTCTGTAATATAGCTAATGACCATAGATGCAATGGGGCGAGAAAGGCCTTTGCAATGAAGGGCAAATGGCCAATTGGCATATCTATTTAAGAAGATGCGTGGGGGTTGAGGATGCAGCTCATTGGTCAAACTTTTACACAACATTCACAAGGTCCTGGGTTCAACCCTACCCTGAAAAGGGGGCAGTGTGGGTAAATGTCATTACACTTCATCAGCATTAGTTAAGAGAGGCCAAAGAAGAAGGCAGGAGTCTGTACGGATAAAGGAGTACAAATAGAGGAGAGGAGTATATGTTTTAGAAAGTCCAATATGCATGGAGAAGTAGTAACAATTATTAAGTGCAGCAAGCTTATTTCTCATCTTGGGGGTGAGGGGGAGAAAAACTGAGCCTATTACACCAGAGAAACTTCCAAATATTCTGGAAGTGCAGCAGTACCATTTGTCTCTGGCAGTGAGAATCAAAGAAAGGGCTAACTCCAGGGAAAGCATTTAACAAGTTAGATGCCTCTCCTCTCCCTCATCACCTCCACTGTGCAGCCAGGTGACCACCTGGCCCCAATGCTAATGGAGAACCAAAAACTTGTCCCTCTGAAAGAGAGTGCAGGTCTCTGGACTGAGGGTCACTTGTACAATGAAGCAATACTCAAATGGCCATTTTGGAACCTTTCCTGAAGGCAAGCTGCTGTGTCCTGCAGGAGGTGGTGGCCCTGCATTGATGGGGGTTTGGTAATGGGAGGCATGAGTCATAACAAAGAAGATGCCAAAAAGGCCAATTGTCTGCCAGTTCTCAATGTGACGGGCTCGGCTAGTGCTTTTGGGAAATGGTACCACTGGACAAGAATGAGAAATGAAGAGGCAGAGGGCTGGGAGGGCAGTGAGGATATCGGAGGGCTCAGATTCGGAGAGAAAGACCCTTGCTGGGTAACTCAGAGGAGGAAACACTGGATGCTGTATTTGAGGAAAGCTGCTGCACCTGAATGTTTGGAGAAGTAAGACCAGGCAGTCTGGGTTTCTCCTGGACTTTATCTGTAACTAAGGGGTCTTAGTTAGGGGCTAGGAAAATGGAGGGAGTCAGTGGGAACAAGGCTCACAAAAAGCCCTTCCCTTGTCCATGGCAAAGGCTTATCACAGTGGTTCTCAACCTTCCTAATGCTGCAACCCTTTTACACAGTTTCTCATATTGTGGTGACCCCCCCATCTCCCAAGACATAAATTTTTTTCATTGCTACTTCATAACTGTAATTTTGCTACTGTTATGAATCATAATGTAAATATATGATCTGCGGCATATCTGACATATGACCCCTATGTAAGGGTCACTCACTCCTCAAGGGGTTGTGACCCACAGGTTGAGATCCACTGGCTTATCAATTCCTGTAACTGGCTCATTCCTTCTCCAAGGAAGCTGTTGCTCTTCATCAAAGCAAATACTTCTGGCAAGTTAGAACACTGGATTCATGAAAGCTATGTCCCAGTTCTTTGAATTCTTTGGAGGAATCTTAGTTGAAAAGCAAACTGACTTTACACAGAAGCACATATTCTCTTAAGCAATTTCTTCAATATTATCAGTCTTCAACCAACCACATTCCTGGACTCACTGTTCACTGCAAAAGACCACCCAGGAAGGCAGCCTGTCAGCCCACTGAATATCGGTCCTGTAGTCTGGCTGCTCAGCCCTGTCCTAAGGCTGGCCTTAGCACTTCAGCCCCACCTGATAAGCACAAAGC